TAAGTTTTGGTGCCCCACTGCTTTGTTATTGATAGCAACATATATGTATATGTAAAGTTTAAATTTTAGTTACAAATTCATGATCATTGAATTAGGCATAGCCTTGTGTCTTATTTACAAATTCATGATCTTATTTACAAATTCATCAGAAGATTAGACATGACCTTGTACCTTGTTTACAAAATTCATAATCATTGGATTAGGTATGACCTTGTATTTTCCTTGCATTACTCCACAGAGTCAACATTATGTAAATGTTCTAATTCTATTAAAACAGGTAAACCCTTCAGGCCTTACACAGTAGTTATCTTTAAACTCTTGATCATTGACTGAAACATACTAAAGAGGATTTTACACCATATCATTGGATTAATGCTGAATAAAAGGCCTACTGCACAAATCTAAACAATTGACAGCCTTAATCTACACTAACATGCTACATTTCCTGTAAATGACTCTGGTAGCTGTGGCAGTGATATCTATATATAGTGTATATCACAATGAAACAGGTTGTAGACACTATTGTTTCAGTTTATTAATTAAAATTAGTTAAGTTTCATTTAAGACACCTGGAAGTACACAATTTCAGAAAAATCTACCTGAAATATCAGGTGCATGGATTTGTGGTTTATAATATATATCTGGGGTTTATTTTGAGAGATTCACTTTCAAACATTAATCTGAAGGAATTACTAGGACATTACCATACTGGCAAAGGAACTTTTACAATAAAGTATTTTACTCTAACTTGTTAATTCACTATACCAACATTGTGTGTATGGCTGTCATGGGTACAAAAGTTTGGGCCAGGGTACCTGAATTTTAATACCTGACATGTACCAGGGTACCCAAATTTTAACACCTGACTCATATCCGGGTACCCGACTTTAATCTAACATATAATAAAACGTAGTGCTACCTTGTTGAAAACGACTTGTAACTTGGGGGAAACAAATAAAAAATCAACCATATACATTGTATGAACACAATGCTTCACTGCCGGTATAATTGTATTCTTTTCTTCGCACCTATCAACTGTTTTGTACTTTAAATGGTCTTCAGACAAGCCGCATCGAGACAAAACATGCCAGTTAAGCTTATTGCAGATATGACAGGATGGTGTTAGTTGCACATGCGCAACAGTAAGTAAAGTGGGGTTGAGACAGCAAAAGTTTCAACCGGGAATCAAAGCACACTAAAATAAATTAATAAGAATGTTGTTTAATTCAAACAAGAAATTTATGAATCCTCGCAAGTTATCCATGGTAACAAGTCTGCCGTGTGTTGTCCATATTAACTAGTCTCCCGTTTGTTGTCCATGGTAACAAGTCTGCCGTGTGTTATCCATGGTAACAAGTCTGCCGTGTGTTATCCATGGTAACAAGTCTGCCGAGTATACACATTTGTTTGGTGGTTCTCGCAACGAAATGTGGTCGTGAGAAAACTAAAGTACAACAGTATTGAATGTGGAAATGTAACAAACAGATAAAGTGTCATTCATGATGAATGAAAATACAACAAATGATGGAGATATTGTATAACCTTGATAATCTGAAATGTAAACACAGAGGGAAGACAGAATGTTTCCTGTTTTGACAGGTGCCAGGGTAAACATTTTCTGACCCAGTTATTTCTCAAACTCGACCTGGGTACTCAGGTACTTGTTACAGCCCTTACTGTATACATTACTACATTCAAACATACGGTGCTTTGTTGTACAGGTACCAGTGTTTATGGGTTACCTCTTCTTCATTTAGAAATAGCCCATTTTATCTTGTGTCATGATACTTTCATAACACTATATCACTGCCAGTAGAATTGTCATATGGTCATAACTGCTTTTGTCTTCATCTGGTAAATTTCTGAATCATAATGCAGTCTCTGATTTAAATAAGTGTCTCCCCTTGTGATTTGAAACTGGATGTACAATTTACCAAGAAAAATGTATTCATGCAGGAGAACTGGCCTTGAAAACCAGAGGTATAAATCTAGAATTTCACCAATTTTGAGGGTTTTGTACCTCCCTTCCATGTTTAGTTCATTAGTTTATTGTTGCTTTGAGTCCTACACACAGCCAGAATCATTTAAGGATGTACCAGGTTTGGATGGTGGAGAAAAGCTTGAATAGCCACTGAAAATCCACCAATTTGCGGCAAGTACCTGGCAACTGCCTCCTGTAGGCCTCGAATCAGTAATCAAGAGGTGGAAGTCAGAGGTGATCACCACTTGACCACTGGAGTATTGGGGAGCTCTGTGAAATTATGCATTATTATATTAACCATTTCATTCTTGTTTCCTTAAATTTGTTGTAGAGGCACATAAATTCTATGACAAATTGTATCGTTTAAACAAGTGAGTATCTGCCTATTGGCAGCTCTGAACAGTTAGTTGTATCACCAACATCTTTCCGATGTTAATCACGTCTTTACTCTAGAGATGCAAATAATTTGATTTTAATTTCTTATGGAGTAGAATTTAAAATGGAAATGATATCGATTTGAATTTGTCATAACACGAATGCAGCTTGATAGTGATTATATTACTTTAACTACTCATTGTACTTAATTGATGGTAGGTAAGTCACTCAGTAGTTACCCAACGCCAATGATTGCTGACGCAGATTAAGGCAAGAAAAAGCATGTCTCTGTTTTCATATTTGTACGTCATTATTGATAGCACTGTTTACCACACATATATTTAAGATGTTTTTGAATTGTGGCATTCAGCTACAAGTGTCTATTTAAAGAAAAAATAACCTATGCAAATACGGATTGATTTATGTACATGAAAACTTATTTTAAAAGTGTAAGCTACAGAACATTAACGAAGCTACAATGTATTGGAAAGAGCGGAGCATCTGTACACGTACAAGACAGAATTAAACTGTAGGCAGTCTAAGACAAAGCTTCAGTTCAAGAGATAAATCAGAGTTGCAGAACATGAGACATAACAAAGTTGGTGTGTACAAAACTTAAAAAAAAATTTACAAGACCGGAAAAATGAAAATTCTGATATTTACCTTCTTTGTATTACCAAAGCTTCAACAGATTTTTAGGAGATGGTTATTAGATGGTCAGTTACAGTCTGGCAAAATTTGAGAAAATGAAACTGACACATGACAGAACAAAGCAAAACATCAGATGGAAAAAAGCTACAGAAAATGAGAGAGAACAAAGCTGCAAAATGCTAGACAGAACAATGTTAACATATGTGAGACAAAACAGGTCTACAGAACCAGAAACAGAATGCAAGACACATCAGGGTCTACTGAATGCGAGACAAAACAAAGCGACAGAGCTCAAAACAGAACATATCTACAGAATGTGAGACAAAACAAAGCTACAGAATGCAAGACAGAACCAATCTACAGAACATGAGACAGAAAGCTACAGAATGCAAGACACAACAGATCCACTACAGAATGCGAGACAAAACAAAGCGTCAGAACCTGATACAGAACGCGACAGAACAGATCTACAGAACGCGACAGAACAGATCTACAGAACGCGACAGAACAGATCTACAGAACGCGACAGAACAGATCTACAGAACTCGAGACAGAACAGATCTACAGAACGCGACAGAACAGATCTACAGAACGAGACAGAACAGATCTACAGAACGAGACAGAACAGATCTAAAGAATGTCAGCCAGAACAGATCTAAAGAAGGTGAGACAGAAAGCAACAGAATGGAGACAAAACAGATCTATACATCACAAGAAAAAACAAAGCTTCAGAACACAGACTGAACAGATCTTCAAAATGCAGGACAGATCAAAGCTGCAGAAAGCAACAAGGAACAGATCTACAGAACAAGAGACGGAACCAAGCTACAGAACACGAGACTGAACAGATCTATAGAATGCGAGACAGAACAGATCTGAAGAAGATGAGACAGAACAAAGCTACAGAATGCAAGACAGAACAGATTTGCAGAATGTGAGACAGAACAAAGCTTCAGAACACGAGACAGACCAGATCTGAAGAAGATGAGACGGAACAAAGCTACAGAATGCGAGACAGAACAGATCTACAGAACATGAGAAAACTGATCCACACGTGAGACAGAACAATGCCAGAGAACATGTGACAGAACAGATCTGCAGAACGCAAGATGGAACAAAGCTACAGAATATGGAATTTTTAAAGCAACAGATTAACTTGTTTGTAACACTTGAAATTGTATTAATCATCAGCAGATTTATATAGATAATATGATAATAAAATGTACATTTATTTGCAAAGTGCATAGTAATCACTTTATGTCAGTGTCTACAGTTGATGGTAGATCTTAAGCAATTTGATGCAGACTAACTTGCATATTTTAGTGCTGGTCAAGTGTTGAGTGAGGTTATTGCTTCGGTCAATAGCAAAGCTAATGAATTTTTTACACTATAGCATAATAAGTATTCAATAAAAGAGTGTTTCAGTCTGCTGCCCCGACTGTAGCAGAAGTAATCTATCCCAGAAGACTCTGATTACCAGCGAATGCATTTACCTAGAATTACGAAACTAAAGCTTCACTATTATGACGTAGAGAGTTCAAGGCAGAACCGGTTGATTTACCCTAGAAGCACTCGGCGTTAGCTGTTTATGTTGATAGGTACACAAGATTTAAGGCTATAGCTAGCTGCCATTTGACAACGCATTTTGTCCAGACAGTGTACAAGGATGAAATAATGAAATAATTATTTGAGTGGATTTGATAGATAACGACACACCTATGTGGAGGTAGATACATGTGTGTCAAGGCATGTGTAGTGGATCAGTGCCTGTGTACTTTATACACAGGAACTTCAAGTGTCTGACCTGCTGAGGATTTTGTCAGAGTTGCAACTGTTCCATTATCCTAAACACCTCTGCTTGTGACTTATTTTCTTGTTTGATGGATTGAAACATGGACATTAGTACACATGGAATGTGAATTTTTTATGTAGTTTTAATGTAGATGTGATTCACTGTTGGATTTCACCCAGTCATGCTTCTCTCACATGGTTGCCGCTAACAGCTGATCTACAGTCTAAAAATAGCTTTGTACTGGAAGTACTACAGCTGATCTCAAGGTTGGTTGACTGTACATAGACGGTAAGATCAGACCCAAATATTGACCTGAATATTGATCTGTCTGTGTTTTACTTGGGATGTCAGTAAATTTGTAAAGAAAAATGCAAGAAATTGACATTAAAAAAGTAACGTGCATACATATTATTTTCATAGCAAGTATGTACATGTACTGTCTATGTGTGTATATGTATACCTAGCTCTATGAAGTCTAGATAAACGATTCATTTCTATAGTTATATACGTACATATATACATACATAACTTTGCCTAGGGTTATATCAGTCTTATTCTTATTTCTAATTTCTTACAAAAAGCAAAAAAGCAAAGCAATTAAGGACTCTGCAGTCGTAAAATCTTTTGCATATTACATCTGGTATGAAAATATAACATCCTTATATTGCATGTTGTGTGCATTGGACAGGCTTCGTCATGCAACAATATTAAATGAACTGGAAACTAAGAAGTTATACACACAATTTCTGTAACATGAATCCATGCTTGCATTGATTTTTGCATAATTGCCTTTAGGAAATTGTATACTTTTGATAAGGCGTTTACTGGATGTCCCATGTTCATGAGGAGCCAACAGTCGACACTCGTGAATAAGAGTTAACAGAATTTAGAATAAAAATAACAAGTGTTAAAAATATATTTTTTCTAGACGACTTAAATTTAATTATGTTGATACCTGAACCGTTCCTAAAATGTTTGTTCATCTTGGTAAACACTGCTGTCATTTTAAAAAGAAAATTTGTCATTGCGTTAAATATGTTTCTTTCATCCGACTTATTATTGACTGCAGTCCATTTTTAAAAAGTTGAACATTTAAGATAATTGTCTAGCAGCAATTTAATGTTACATACAAAACAATTGCGAAACATCCTGCAGTTGGTGAGTCATAAAGAATACCACAATAATAATATATGTATAAAATCCATGGAAAAATATATTCATGTTGAAATTTCTGATCAATAACGAAGAGATGTGTGGATCTAAATATGTCCTTGGACTGTGCAATGTATGGTTTTGCAGGCATGGATTCAGGAATGTTTTTAGGTGGGGTGAGGGTAAAAATATTTTAGTAATGTTGTAAGTTTAAAAACTATACTGCATTGTACATAATAGGGTATCCCTCCCCTTGGGAACATTCTAGCCGAGGATGGATTGTAAACCAAAAAAATACAGATGGAGAAAGACATAAGTAATATTTTAGTAGTAAAAGTAATAATTTTATCAATGATATTACCCATAAGTAAAGCAAATTAATAGTTCAAAGCCTGATTGGGGGCATAGCCCCAAAATTTCCATGAATATTTACAAATAATGCCCTCACTCTCACATTGTACATTGCTGTACGCATATGCTTGTGATGAGGAAATTTCAGTTTATCATTGGAATGATGAAATTTTTAGCATTCTAGCAGAAAATGGTCACTTGCCAGGAGTTTATGTAATTGGAAGCCTTTTAGATGGTTCATGAAAAATTTCTCCATATCTTTAGACATACATGTTTTTGAAGTGTTAAGATCATAGAACTAGGCAGAAAATTTCACAAATTTTTGTTCAGTTAAAGTCATCACTTCTTTTAAACCACAATTATGCACAGTGAGCACAGAGATAGGAATATAGTGACTTAATTTTGAATACATTTTAAAACAAATGTTTAAATGTTCCAGTTTGAAATCAGGCATGCTGCCAGTTAAATAGAGTGTCACGTATGTACACACCATGTACCAAATGGATTTAGATCTTTAAGGTCATGGTCAAATTTTGAAAATGTTTTGTTGTAAGGAAAAAACACTAATTGTAATTTTTGTACACGTCATAGTATTGTAGTGAGCTAATCTAATAGTATAGCAAAACTAGATTTGATCTTATTAGCAGGAATAATTGGCAGTCAGGGTAGCCATATAGGTTTGGTGAACTTGAAACCAAGAGATTTTATATGCAGCCTTAGCTGTCCATAAACAAGGAGAGATATAAGAACCAAGGGTACGTGATATGCATAAGACATTACGAGACCACCACTGAACCTTGAACTCTTTAAACATAATTAGTCACAAACCACAGCCACATATGTGATTTAGTTGTTAAGCAGAGACTTGTAAAGCAATCTCGAGCGGTACTTAAACAATTTAAAAATGTACAGTTTTTTTAAATTTCAAATGTTACAAGTCCAGATTTGTTTACAAAATTAGTCATCACTGTTGTGTACACATGTAATTGATATAGGTAAAATGACAAAAGCAATGATTCTATTTTTCTAAATTTATGCACTAACTTGATACAAAATATGATTTTTACCCTTACCATATTATGGTATATGTGTATCTTTGATCATATTAAAACAATACTGACTGTTTCTTATAGCTAGGGTTGGCTAGCTATAGGATATTGATTATTATGAAAAATTTGACTCGTCATGGCAATAATGAAGGATCCATGAGCGACATTTTGTTTACAAGACGAAAAGTCTAGTTTGATCCTTTGATGTACATCAATCGGATCTCGAGCTTGCATAAAGGTATATTGTAATGGCTTTGAAGTTGAGTGTTGCTTCATTTTAACATTCAAAAGGCATGTATCAACCTCTGATTGGTCAGTTTTTTTCTCCTGGAACCAATCTATTTACTTCGCATGTGCCTCTAATTTTGCCATGACATGTTCCTGGGGTGCAGAGAGCGAAAATGATTGTAACCCCTGGAGTATGGAAGATGGATTTTGGTTCGTTCATGTCATAGAGATGCAGAAGAAAAAGGAAATAAGCTTGCTTTCTATCTTAACCGGGACCATCTTGAGGATAGAGGGAGTTAGGATTGGGATGATTGAAGATGTTCCTGCTATGTTTTATTTATGCTTGTCTTTGATGGGTTGTATCATGATTTGACATTGACAGTTTGTTGCCTTTGTCTGATTGTCTTCACTGGCCAAGTTAACCAGATCAAAGGCTTGGTGAAGATGGGTTATTAGTTTAGAAATGTTTCTTATAGAAGTCATTATTGTTGATCATACGATTTTGAACTATAACGTTGAGTTATTTAGAGTTTAACAGGAAAATATGACTTGATATTCAAGTTTAAGGTCAACTGGTCAAAAGCGTCGGAGATAAATGATGAACTGAAAATTTCCTATAATCAGACATCAGTGTTTTGATGCATGGTCGTTGGCCTCCTGTGGTGAATATATGTTAACAAGTCAACAAAAACAAAAAAGTGGGGTCCTTGATATAAATAAAAAGTGAAGAATTAAGATCCCGTATGATACATGAACTGTCACCTTAAAGTCACAATTGTATAGTGTGACTTCTCCAATTCAAACTTACCATGTATGAGACAGGAATATTTGGCTATTTTTAGGCAGAGCTCAGTGTTCAGAAGTAAACAGTTGATGGGTCAGGACACTGGTTTAATTAAAATGATTCTGTTTCTGTACGTTACATTAACTGTTCCTTCGGCTTTGAGCATTCACTCACACATCCAACTGAATGCAGAAAAAAAACTTTATAGAGTAAAATTAATTTGATAAAGTGAAAAAAAAGGTGATACCTGTAAACAATATGTGACTTTAATAAGAAAGTAATTATCTGGCCGTTAGATGGTGACGTCAACATTATAAAAGACTGGATCCAGACCTGGCCTTGGTCGCATTGTCAGCTGAAAGTACATGCAATGTTTATTTGATGAAAAGATGTTTCAGTTGATCAGTATAAAAAAGATATATTAAAAAAAAAACTAAAAACAATTCATTGATGTTTCCATTTTTTATGTGTTAAAAAACATTATTTCATGACTCACAATTTAGATACAAAACTGTGGATTTTTTAGCTCTTCATAAGTACTTCTTTTCACGTTGGAATTTGGAATTTAGAAGAATCGTTATTTGAAAGTTTTTTTATTACTACTCTAAAGAGGTTACCATTCCATATATGTCATCATTTTGTTCGTTTTTAGGAGGTAATCAGTTTTTGAGAAAAGATTGGTTTCAGGAAGTTGAACACTATAATACCTTTAATGGTAATTCAGGGGAGTTTACTCTTTTAGACGTTCTAGGCATTGCCAACTGCTTTAAGTGCACATGTACTTACAGGACCCTGAGAAAATGAGGACAGGACCAAGGATGTTATCAGGGCCTATTAGTTATAGACATTGGCTGTATCCTTGATCACAGAAAACATCATTTCATCCCGTCTAAAATTGCATTCATTGATTTAAGATTCAAAGTGAAATTCATAAGAAAATTATGTACACAATAAAGAACGTCTGAACTATGAGGCAAGTAGGTATTTAAAAGAGCCATTTTACCAGATACTAAACGCATCCACTGTATTGATTAAGGAACAGCTTTAGTGTATAAGAGAAACCATTACACTCGATCAATAATCTTTTATGAAGCTGGTGCGTAACATCCGTAAATAAAATTTTATCTCTCGACATTGTACTGTAATGGTGAGGGGGTTTTAATGTGCTTGGATTTGTGATGTGTTTGAACATCAACATGTAACATGAAAAATGCAGTTATGTCATGTAGGGCCAGAGATTGACAAGAGAATGGACATTGATCGGAGTCTTTAGGAGGTTTGAATGACGTCAATGTGTACTCGTATTATGTGGCAATCATTCTGGTTATAGCCTCCTTATCAATCCAAACTCCATCTTATTTCCTCTCCTCAAGTGTTGTGATACAGACACAGGCTTTCTAGAACTATTGAACAGTATAACCCACCTGTCACTCATAAACATATCAGTGTGCAGAGAGAGTTGGAGCCTGGTTTGTCATCTATTCATGCTGAGGTCAGCAATTTTACCAACAATACTACAAATTTTGAAATCATGAGTTAAGATGAAATAAATATCAAGCTAATATTACACACAAACCTGTATTAAAATGGATGATCTACATTTGATGAGAATTTTAAAAAAAATACCAAGGACTACACTAAAAGTATCTTTATATCACAATGAATTTATGGTGCTGTTGAACTTTTAGTTAATTCAATATCA